TCGATTTTTCTTTTCTTTCTTGGCTGCGATTTGTTTTTTTTTTTTTTTTTTTTTTTTCGATTTGGAAACGACTTGTGCCAAAATCGATCGATCGAGGATTACGATTAACAAAAAACACGAAACCTAGACACACTAACGTTTAATTCGAAAAACACAAAAGTTTTACTACGGGTGTGAATATCGCATGCAATCGACGACAACAACGGGAACGCTTGTTAGTAGGGATCAAATTTAGTAGAAAAATGGAAGCTATTAGAATCCTTATCCCCACTTTCCTCTCCGTTTCATTAAATTTTAATTCGGTATTGTTTTTCATCGTAAATCGATGATAAATATATTCCTGGTGATAATCATAATTTGACCGAATTTGAAAATGTTTCAAGTAATAAATTCATTAAGCAAAAAGACGATAGTCCAGTTATTATGTACAAAAATTAATTATGAATTTCACTTCGATCAAAAATATTTGTCCGAGAGAAAAGAGGGGATTAAAACGAACGAATTAGAAGAGGGCCAAAACAAAAAAAAAAAAATAACGTATATATAATTAAAAAAAAACAATAGTAAAATTAGCTGCGTATGACACGACGTACGAATACTTTTTCGAAACCGTAAAGCTACTGCTAGTAGTAGTAGTTGAGGGGCTGTTGTTTGATACTTACGCGACAATCGCAGGCTTGCATCGATCACCGGTCGATAAAGTTGCGAGAGCCTCAAAGCCGGGGTAGTAGTAGTAGTAGTAGTAGTAGTAGTAGTAGTAGTGGTAGTGGTAGTAGTATTAGTTATTAGTGATTTGTACCGACACACACGAGGGAAGAAGTAGTGTGGTGTTACTTTTGCTACATTAAACACAAATTAGTTACACAAGCTACGTACACTACGCCAAAGACTATTGACTAAGATAAGATAAAAAAGCGACATCACACAGTCTTTCTCTCTCTCTCTCTCTCTCTTTCTCGTTCTCGTTCTCTCTCTTTCTCTCTCACCTTCGCCATCATCGTCTCTTTCTTCTTACCCTCCCTTGTCCCCAATCAATTTATTCTTTCGCAATTCGTTGTTATTATAGCGCACACAGATGGACAGTTTGTTAGATAAACTAGAACTGTTCACTTTCACGCGACGAGATAAGAATCGAGTAGAGGAATTGCTTGCGAGAGAATAATATATTTAATGTAGTACAGGTTCATTCGATTAACTTTATTTGAGAATTAATCCTCAAATCTTTATACCATTGTTTTTTTTTTTTGGTGTGGTTTAAACTTTTAAAAAACTTTAAGAATACAACAAATTTTTCTCTTATCCTTTTGATAGATAGATGATGGATTTTTTAAAAGAGCAAAGCTTTCGATAACTTCGGTTTTCATTTCATGGATGATGGAGAAAGAATATTTTTTTTTTTGAGAACTATCTCTCGTATAAACTTCATCAAAATATTGTAATTGTAAATTGTATTGTAATTGTGGAATGTATTCTCTTGTTAATAGAGATCAGTGTTGGGGTAATTAATTTAATTAATCAATGATTAATGATTATGACTATTACTCTGATTATCAATTGCGATTAATGATTATTTTTATTTTAATTGATGTATAACTGTGATTAACGATTACGCGAGGTATTTGATCGTTAATTAGATTAATAACTGAATTAGTTATTTTGATTTGTCAATTGATTAATAATATTTTTATCACAATATGAAAATGTGCAATTTTTCACATTGAATTTTAAATTTTCAATCTTTATTTTTTAATAACTACGAATTTATAAGACTTAAAGAGAATGTTGAAAATATTTGAAAAAGGAATCTATTATTTTTTAAATTATATTTAGTTTGTAAAGAGTCCTATGAGATTGTTTAAAATGATAAATAAACAAAACTATATTCACTAAAAAAAAACTTTAAATTTGAATTTAATATAAAAGATACCATTAAAATTGCACATTGAGCCTCATGTAATGAAAAATAAAAAAATATTACAATCATTAATTATTTTTTTGATCAGCAATTGATAGTTAAATTCATAATAGATGATTGAACTCAATCGCTATTTTTGACAATCAATCCTTAACTGTACATTATCCTTCATAAAATATCCTATCTTTTTTTTTATTTTTCAGGTAGATATATGAAAACATTTACATTTTGTTCACTTTTTAAATTCATCGATGTAATCATTTAAAAATGAATAACACCAAAGAAATAAATAAAACTTCATTTTTTTCAAGAAGCAGTAAAATAAAAATTCAGATTTGTCTGACATTTCTCTGAATCATTAATCAAAAATCAAAAATTTTTTTAAATCGACCCCAACACTTAATATGTCGGATATTACTTTTTTTCTTTGCAGGCTCGAGGAAATAAAATCCTCGACAAGGGAAACCATCATCGTTATGAAAAATTCCGGTGCTCGAGTAAATTCAAACGAAATATGCATAATGTATGTCTGAAATACGGTGTAATTTGAAACAAAAGTGGCTCGATTCTTTTTACTGGTCGAGTATCCTCTTTCTTTCCAGGCCACCAATAAACTTACGATTTAGCAGAATTCTCCGGTTAACTCGACGACCTACAGGGTGAGTCATTTAAATTCAATTCCCCTTATTTAAATTATCCTCGAAATTATTTATTAAAAATATTATATTTCGAACGAAAATTGTGTGATTTCGAAAAGAAAATAATTTGATTGCAGTATATTAATTTCTTAGCAAGTTAAATAATCGTACAAAGGATATTTAACGACAATTTTCTTTTTTTTCAATTCAAAGTAGAGATATTTGAATTTCATTAATAATCGATCTTTAAACATTTTTAAACATCCATTAATCTAACAAAAAAAATTTAGGTTTCTAAGTGATTCGTCAACCACTTTGGCAATCAAATATCTCCTCGATATACCAGCTCGTCATTTCCTATATTAAAATACAAGAATCTATAATACAATAAATATATATATAATAAAAAGTAGAAATAACTATAATCATTCTTATATTTTATAATAAGAAAATGATTTAACCTACGAAAACGTACGATTCCATTTGAAGAAAAAAGAAAAACTGCATTTGCACCAAATTATTTCCACTAAAATATTTTTTCCCGTACAACAATCACGTTCGAAAATATTCAAAAAAAAAAAAGAAAAAAAAGAAAAAAGAGAAAAAAAAATTCCACGATTCAAACGACTCACCCTGTATAAAAATATGTATATATAATACACCCTTTCTGTAAAAACGTCGCGACTCTCCTCGCCGAGGATCGTGCATTACCAGAATATCGATTGCGACTCGTTTCGTCGATATGATACATTCGATACAGATATAGAAAAACGAGAGAGGTGCTGCACGGTGATTTTATCGGCGTTCCACTCGACCGCGAACCAGCTGACTTAATTAACGATTCGAAACGATCATTTTTCCTTTTTTTTTTTTCTTCTCTCTTTTTTCCTTTTCCATTTGTTCCTATCCTGCGAGATATCCGAGAACCGAGACGTCGATTTGATAAATATGCGAGCATACTTACGGTTTTAAACCTTGAAAAAAAGTGAAGAATAATGAGTTAAGAGAGCACAAGGATGGATGGAGTCGAGTTTTTTTTTTTTTTTTTTGTTATCTTTTCTGTAAGCCGTGGTTAGAAATTTTTTCTTCTTTTTAGTGCGCAGGTGTGTGTAATTTGGTCACATCCATCGTCAGAAGAGAGAATTCATTTTCGGTTCCTTACTGCGAGGAAGACATCCCCCCTTTTTTCTTTTTTTTTTTTATATCTCTTCTGTGACACAAATAGTAGCGGCTCGAGCAGTTATTGTTTAAATTTATATCATATATATTTTATGTTTCGAGGGTACGTGTTATTTGCTGCCACCAACGTTTCTACTTTTTCTTCTGTAACTGAGCTTCACTGGTTTTCTTTTTTTTTTTTTCGGTAAAATTAAGTCACGCATCAAGCGTTGGACGATGACTTCAGGAAATCCCTTTTGTGTGTCAAGACAAAGTGTACGATATAAACAATTTTATATTTTGAAGAAGAAGAAGAAGAAGAAGGATTTCTCGTAAAACAAATTTTCTGCGAAGAAGAAAAATTGTTTTGAGAATTTCTTTTTATAAATTCATCCCTATTCTTTGCTATTTCATTCGTGCTATTTCAATCCCTTCCTTCCTCCAACTTCTCGTGTAATAATACGATTAAACACGGCCGTGGAAAACGTACTTACATCAGTCTCAACACAAAAAGAACGCCGTATCCATCCATCATCGTCGTCGTCTTTGTCGCCGGAACGACAATGCAATTTAACGGCTACTTGTTTCTCAGTTTATTAAATGAGAAGAGGCAGGTGATCGTACTGTGCCATACGTGTACTGGCATGCTCGCATGCGTGCTCGATAAGATCATGCATGTGCTTTCTTTCGTGATTTCCATGCAGGTGTTTCAAAGCGTGAATATATATATATATATATAAACTGTCACGTCATTCCGCAACCGGGGTGACAAGCAATTTTAAATCTGGATCTTGAACTTTACATCGATTTCACTTCCGGAATCTAGACATTCTAAACAGAATGTTTAAATTTGTTCTCTTCTCAACAGGGGAAAAGAAGAAAGGAAAGAACTCGTTCTGAACTTTTGCATTGAATTTTATATGAGAAATAAAAGAGGGAAAATAGATAATAATCTAGTGTGCAAATATATTTGAGAATAATTCGATTTTTCCGATAGTGTCTTCACTTTAAAACTGCATTTAGAAGGGTCTCAATATCTTGGGAAAAAAAAAATCCCAAAAATAGCTTTCACTTTCGATACAAAAAAATATTCTCGAGAATATCTCTTATATGTAAGGATATGTTGATTCTTGTCAAAATAAAGATAGAAAAGTGTCAATCGAAGCTTATTTATCGAATTAAATAAAACGATCGAGAGAGGCTCCATCCAGCATAAATCTCAAATCACTTGATACGCGAGCCTTCGATTAGATCATAGATTTATTTATTTATTTATGGATCCACTCATCGATGTGTCGTTTTTCCATTCTACAAAATTGCGCAAAACAACATTTGAGAATGGAACACTCGAGAATTACTCTCGAAAATCGACTGAATGGACACTGGCCTGCGATGCCCTCACTCTTGACACTCCTCGGCCAACTGACTCGAAAAACAACTTATTAATAGCCCCTTCCGGTAAAGATAAAGCGTTAACAACACCACTCGGCGGAAAATAGACTTCTATTCTCAAATATATATCACGATGTACATTTTCCACGTCCAACGATCTTGCTTGCCCATCCAATTATCCATCAGCACGCAAGATACGATATGAACGACTCAAATATATATATATATATATAATTCCAATAATTTGTCGAACCATCAATTCAATGCCTCCGAATTCCAAGAAATCAACGTTAACCAGTTCCAACCAGAGTCGTGTATCATGCATATCCGGTCACAGCCCTTGCTTGTAAAATGTATAAGAAGCAACAACCGCTTCCACTGCTAAACAATGCTTTCTGGCTCGTGCAATACGCATCACAGATTGGAATTTCAAATTCCCAAAAAATAAAAATAAAAATAAAAATAAAAAGGAAAAAAAAAAAAAAATACTCTCTGGAAGAAGAAGGGAGAAGTCGTTGAATATTGAGGAATCAGATCTCAGGAATCACAGGACTAATTTGGATGATCCTGGATGGGATATTTTTTCCAGAAGTAAACGTGTACATATACATTCGAATATAGTGGGAGGAAAAAGTGTTTTCGACGACGAAGCGTGGTTGTTCGAAGAAAAGGAACGGAGGGGGTGGGGGTGGGCGACGAGGAGGATACGGTTTCGTACGGTCGATTTGGTCGGTGGTCGTTCGCCGGAGGACCTCGCTGAAGCTTACCCTCTTCCCTTGCTTTCCCCGGGCACCCTTCTCTCCCGGCAGACCGGGTGGTCCCGTCGGACCCAGCTCCCCCTTCTCGCCCTGGGGCCCTGTGTGCGTGTACATCACGTGCATAAAATAATACATGACACGTCCGCTCGTTTCGCACTCTCTCACTCTCTCTCTCTCTCTCTCTCTCTCTCGCGTTTCATCGTGCATAAATCACGTATCGATTACGCTATTATCGGAGGGAAACTACCCCCTCTTTCGAGGGGTTGGAATTATTATTCTTCTATCGTATTTCTCTCTATCGTGTGTGTGTGTGTGTGTATGTGTAAGTTATTTTTTGGAGGAAGAAAAAGAATTGGAATGAGTTTTTAAATAAAATTATGTGTGTGTGTGTGTGTATATTGATTTTTGAGGAGGAGAATTAGCATCTGGTGTTTCTTCGAAGGCGCGGATTATTACGATAAATTGACGCGATATTAACCCACTTAAGCGTCGGCCAATTCTTAGAAATTCTTGCGGTTTGAAGACGTTTGAAACTAACATTTGACTGAGTTTATACGCGATATTTCACCTTCTTCTCCCCTTCCATTCGATCGAATTCACAGAAGTCGAATCCTCCCCGTTTAAACCGGTCTCTCTCGACTCTTAAGTGGGCAATGCTTTGTGCTCCATCTTTAACGCGCGTGCAACGTGAGAGTTTTAAAGAATTTAAAGAAAAATCGTTTTTTCGAAACGAATTCGAAGAAATTGATGTTGAAAGTTTGCGGGTAAAGATTTTAATTTTCTGACGTGCTGATTCTTTCGTCTAATTTCGCGAAAGTAATATAATAGTGTGAAAGTAAAATTGTTTGTATGGATGTGGATGTACGTACCGTTAAAGCCTGTGTTGTGCAAGGACAAGTAACATTGTTATACACAAATCTTAATTATAACATGTATCTTAAAGGAAAAGAAGAGGGAGGAGGATTTTTGAGGAAGTTTCTTTTTTCTGCATATACATTTACAAATTCGAAGATTAACTAACTCTTGTCTCTTCATTCACACATGTTTAACTATATACAACGAACGAGAGAGAATTATGAATTAATAATAAGAAAAATTGGAATACGTGGCATCAGAAAAATTTAAATTTTATTGCTACCCATTTTCTGTATTATTATTATTATTATTATTATTATCACTTCATCGATTTTACAAAAAACAATATTTTCAATATTCATTTATATTTATTTGTCAGTTATATTTGCTCGTGTTTTAATTAGCTCTAAGTCTAAGAACGTTTCATTATATTTTACATACATGACAAATTTTTATTCGTCTCGCACATCCTCACTCCAGATGTATAAAATACACGAATTAACGTTGGAACACTTTTGGAAATAAGGAATAAATGAATGAACGGAGGCCTGAGAGGCTGGACTTAGGCATTTGATAGCCGAGCTCGATCGTAAATCGCTTTTGTTGCGCTCACTGCTTTCCACGCACATGTACGTGGACAAATGATCACGAGAAAGCGCAGAAAACGTGTGATATACTATCAGGATCACCGTTCCCCTGTCCGATTGATTTGTTACCTTCTCACGTATTTCGTGGGTGGATTTATACCCCAGTTATACAGGGTGTTTTATTTGAAATTTATATTGTTGGTTTGTTTGAAAAGGATTTATAATAATTGTTTATTTATAATGATTATTTATAAAATTATTCAATTCTATTAATATCGGCGGAAGAAATTTGTTAATTTTGTCTTATATCTCGATGAAATTAATTATACGATCCTTCGCGTCGATTGAAATCCTTTCTTTACTGTTTTACAAATAATTTTCAAAATTTTCGTTTATTCGTGTAAACAGCGTCGATCGATTAATGAAATTTGATCGAAAAATCTTGGCACACCCTGTACGTGTTATTTCTTCTCGCACATACACTGCATGGATGGATATACTGCAAATCCAGAAGTCAGATTATTCGATAAGTAGTTAAGATAAACATTTCTCTTGGTTACACAATCATTTTTATATTTCATTGAGCAAATACCAAAGACAAGTAATAAATCTCGCGCAATGTTCATTATTGGAATGGTTTGGAAAGCTTACTACAATTTTTTCGGTTTCAAATACTAATCCGAGATTAGAAGAGAATTATTTATTGCCCACATTCACTGCGAAGTGAAAACATTTTCTCGTAAATTATCGAATGTTGGCATAAAGTTATGCAATTTTTACCTATCGCACGAATTTTATTTTTCGCGAGAAATTTTTGTAGAGGAACCGATGATATTTAAATAAATAATTACTTACTTGAAAGGTTTTTTTCTTTTTTACATTCGATGATAATAAACATTTATTTTTTTTAACGGCCTTTCTCTTTTAAAATTTAAAATAACGCGCCCACCTCGTGGATACCGAAATCCATAATGCCAATATTCGATCACCAGCCCTGTGGAAGCAATAATAGAGTTTGCCCTAATAAAATATTGCTTTTATTCGGTGAACTCGAAAAATCGACGAATTGAATCGAAAAGAGATATCAATAATTCGAATTACTCTCGAATTAAAAATGAAAATTCAAAAGTTAAAGCACCCTTTCTATTTCTATTCACATGTTCCACGATCCATATTTTATATATAATAGCTCTAACTACGAATTGAAAACAACTCGTTCCAATTATTTTCCTTCGTTCAAGATTAAAATCGAGAAGAGAATATCCCGTCCAAAATTGTCAACACGAATCGAATCTTCATAGTTTCATAAATTAAATTTAAATCCAGAGAAAGATCCAGGAATTTTATTAAATTCTTGGCTATCAATTAGTTATCAATTTCGAGAAGCGTTTCGAGAGAGACAATCGATTCGTTAACGGTACGAATGTCGCGAATTCAGTATATCAGATTCACAGTTGTTGGTATCATCCCATAGTGAACGCTTGGAGGACTTGAATAACAGTTACATCTCTAAAGGGGCATTAACTGTACTACATTCCAATCGATTGAAACGAAGGCTGTATAGGAGGCGCACCTTAATGCGAATCAATTCCAGTGCAAGAAGATAGCGGTTAGATTAGTGAAATCTGATCACGTTCAACTTTGTACGTGTGTAACCATTCGAACCGAGTGTGCTTCCTCGTCCACTGTCACTTTTCCTCGTGCTTGTTTTCTTACAAGTCGAATTAACGTTGCGGTAAAAACGTGACGAAACAATTTATCAAACCCTTTGCACACTTGTACTTATATCTGAGAAGGTTACCAAGCAATTTTTCTTTTTTATATTTTAGATTGAAATGACGACATTTTTCTGGGAATATATTACTACAAGTTAGCTTAAAAATGTATAAAATAAATTTTGTAAATCTCAATCTCAATTTGATCAATGAAGATTTATGCATTATCTTTTATTTGTTTATTTTATTTTATTTATATTTAAGCAGAAACTAAAAGAAAACATTGTAACAAGAGGTTAACTTGTACTTATTCTTCACGTTCTAAAGAAGTACAATTTGTGTTAAAAACATCTAACTCGTTTTTCTAATCTTTGTTATAAATTTTATAATTATTTATATTAGATTAGATTTAGTCCATTTTTATCTCTGTTTTTAAAATACACAATTAACTTTTAAAAAAACTTTTATGTTTATTTGTATTAATTTTATTAATTAAATGTTAAAAAACGTTTACTATTATTATTAACAAGTTTTATGTATTATATATATATCGACATTTACCCAAGAATGATACCACAACCAATGCCACAAGTTTAATAATACTGGATAAATACTAGGAGGGTACAAACTTGGATTGGTTTCAATCTGTTATTGAATTGTTTGTGAATGGGATACATGTGTACATGTTTTATTGTGAGACAGTTTTAAGCAAATTACCTATTAGGAGAAATACTTCATCCTGAGATTATTTGTTTGCATGTATCATTAGATTATCCTAGAAAATATTATAAAGCTCGTAACATTTTTTTAATTAAATATACAAAGACATTTTTTTAATAAATAGTTTTAGAAAGTAAAAAGTATTTCTAACATTTTCTAGAACACTCTAACAAAAAGATTAAAATATGAATATGAATACACAAAACAAAAACTGGATGCAAATATCTTTTTGCATTTACATAGAGTATTAATGTATTCGTGGGCGATTTTTGAAGAGTCGATTTTAGACTGAACAAACATGAAAGTTGGTATGCAAAAATTCTGCTCGACTCATCAATCAATTTTGCATTATATCAAGATGGAGATAGGATGAGACGATATTGAAAAAGAAGAAAAATTCTAAAACAAAAAAAAAAAAAAAAAAAATAAAATAATAATAATAACAATTTATAAATTTTTCAAATTATAGGAATATTTTTATCATTTAAATTCATTCTCCATCTTGCTTCTTCCAAAAAATGTTATTTACAACTTAATAAATAATTGTCGATCGATATTTTTGAATAGCACTTTTCATATTTATTTCATTGTCTAAAGATCGATCGTTCGATATATCAACATCCCTGTAAATACGTATAAAGGGTGTTCATTTTTTTAATTAATTTTGATCAACCGCGTACGAATATATCATAGAAACGATGAACGATATTAAAAATATATTCGAAAATGGAATTGCTTTGTTTCAAAGTGGATCCTTTTTTTGAGAGAATAGAACTTTTCTTCCTAACGCATCACAAGGATATTCTTTCTTTGCTTTGTTAAATCATGTCACATGCTCTTTTAACTGTACCACAGCTCAAGGCTATCGAGAGATACCTCTAATGCTTCAGTCATCCTGTTCTTTCAATCATCATTTCTTTTCATCTAACTATGTCAAGGGAGGAAGTGAAATTATTTCTCTGAACATAACACAAGGGATGACTTTCTTTACAATCTACACTATTCGAAAAGTGACATTGATAAATTGAACATTTGTGAATTTTAACAGGGAATTGCGTGATTTTTGTAAAGCAAATACTGTAATTTTAAATACTCAAATATTGAATAATATATATTTTAATAATAATTGGGAAAAATAAAATATAGATATTATTATTTTTTGAAATTATTCTTGAATTGAATTTAGAAATTAAATGTACACGTAAACGAAGAATATTTTTGAAATTGAAATTTTGAATACATTTGCTCGAAGAAGAAAATTGCTTATCTCCAAAATAATCTTCCTCGGAAACAAAGCAAGCAGTTTCAAGAATATTCGTAGGCTTGATTAAAAGTCAAAATTTCCTCCAACTTTTTAAAGATTATATCAAACGAGAGATTTGAATTGATATTCAAATTCTTTGTAAAATAATATTTTTACGAATCAAAATTTTTTCACCTACATTTTTTCAATAATAAAAAATATATATATTCTCCTGTTATCAGTTGAAATTTTGAAACGATAATTTTAAATATTAATAATTTTTATCTTAAATAATTCTTCTCAAACAATTATAGATATATTATAAAAAATACTTCAAAAAAAAGTTATATAATTGAACGTTTAATTAACAATAAATATTTAAATTGCAATCCATCTTTTTGGAAACGTAGCTTTGCTTGAACAAGCAAATTTGCCAGAGTGAAAATCTTTAAGTAAATGTAAAGCTTCTTTGCTTAATTTTCTGCGTATTTTGGATTGAAATCATTAATAGATTGTAGACGAAGAAAAAATACAGTAAAAATTCAAAAAAAGGCCAATTGAGATAATGAGCGTACAAATATAATTTGTTTCCCAAATTTTCTGCCTAAATGAACACGAATAATCTTGTTGTAATTGGTAATATGAATCTTCTGTTTTCTAATACCATGTCTTGCACGAAAATTTACACGTTCTCTAAACGTTTCTCTCTAATATAATATAATACTTGATACAATATACTTGATACAATTAAATATAATTTGGCTTTTACACATATTTGTATTCACTTTTTTTTTTCTTGTAAAATTTATCATTATATATAATTCTAATAAAAAAATATTTAAAAAGGATAATTTAATTTAGAAAAAAAATGCAGATGGAAAATTTTGTTTCATAAAAATTATGCAGATTTAAATTTTTACATATTTTCTTGAAATCTTTTATAAAGTTCAAGGAACATCATAGATAATGTGATAATATTTACATGTACATTGTGCATGTAAATGAATGTACAAAGTGACATGAAACATCCACTTCAATGGAGGAGAAGAAAAAGCTTGTATAAATATAAATACTTGTTTAACATTCTTCCTGAACTATTATTATTTTTTTTAAAAGGAACACAACAGATCATGTCATCCAACTCAAAATTGCTCACTTTCTCTCAAGTTTTTCAAGAATTCTAAGTGCTCATAAATATTCCACAACACTTGATATTCTCAGAATTTTATTAAAAAACAATATTTCTCAGCAGAACAATACAATCTCAACTAACAAATATACCTTTCTATTTATACATATCTTTATTAGTGAAATTACAATATTACAACATTACATAAATAAGAATTCCTGTAAGAATTATTCTAATAAAATAATAATTCCAATAAAATTCTGTTAAATCAATTAAGTGCCAACTATACACGCTATTATTAAATGAATATTTATCATCAATAATATGTATCTTGTTATAAATCTCCTCCATTCAAAATGAATCTCACATGTTATGAGACACCTTATAAGTATAATCTTAAGAGACCTAGAAAACATAATTTAAATCGCTTCATGTGGTCTTATTATGCTGCATTAATATATTATGCGTATCAGTCTGGAGAGATTTTAAATTATACCGCGTGTATGTATATATATATATATATATATATGTATATATACTTACCAGGTGGTCCTGGTGGACCAGGGGGTCCTTCGAATACTCCAGTTGCAAATGGTTCCCCGTTCAAAGACGTTGTTATACCTCGGTCGCCTCTATCACCCTTGTCACCCTGCCGAGAATAACGTTGCTTCAATTAATGGACGTCTTGGAAGGAGATTAACGAGTTTGATAGGGAATCTGGCCTGGACATTTGATGTTGATATACATCATTTTTAATTTTAAAAATGCTAATTATCGGGAGATTGTGTTTCAGAACGTTTGAAATATTATGAGGCATTTGTATGTGATGTTTATTGTTTGTTGTAAATATTGCATTGTATTTCTTTTTTTTTTTAATTAGTATATTCAATGGGAAATTTTCTCCATGGATGAATTTTTCAAAGAATGTTATAAAAGTTTATCGATTTTAATATTTTGTCACATGAGAATGTTAAATCAATGTCAAGTGAATGTATTGAATTTTAAATAGGCTTGAAATTCAAGTTATTTTAGAGATTAAAGAAAATTTTTAGAAAAATTAAGGGATTAATGATAATGAATTTGCCGTATCCTTTAATAAAATGGAAGTTTGTTAAATTGTGCAGTAATTATTCCATCAAGATTTGTGAAATACAAACTTTTATGAAATTTATATTATTTCTACTTCTTCAATTATGTCAAAAAATGAAATTAATAATTGTGCGTTAATAATGTTATATTTCTTATGCAAAAATCAATTTCATCTCGATAATGAATAATTTATTTCGAATAAAATAAGGTCGTTTAATTTTGTTTCCAATTAATTATCATTTAAATACATAAATGAAACGAATTTGTTTAATTAAATTGCTCGTTGTTTCATTCTCTGTGAGAATCACAATACACGTATACATTAGACGATGCTACGTATAACACACACTCACAGAGACTACGTGCTAATTAGTTTAAGTGCAAAAGTATATTAGAGAACTAGAGAAAGCTTTACCATTAACTTTTACGAATGCAATTTTGCACAAATTTTATGGATATACATTTTCTTGAAATGTCTAACTTCCTAACAAGCATTTTCTTTCTTGATTTCCCTGATTTCATTTTTTCACAGAAATAAAGTTAGAAAAAAAAGGAATGTTGGAAAATAAAAAAAATAATGAAATATTTCCACAAAAAATTGAAATTCAACAAGCACGCTCCGTTTCTTTCTTTCTTTCTTTCTTAATTTTTAGATACTCATCTCTTTAACATGAATTTTACTATTACAATAGTTACTATTAAATTCAATGAACCTATCTGAACTGATGAAATTCCTGGTATATGTAAAAAAAAAAATATGTAAAGACAAAATAAATTTCTTAATAATAATAACAATAATGAAGGAGATAATAATCAAAATCTAATATTATTTATTCGTGGAAAAGCTACGTCTGGAGATCCTAATGGAATTAATCAATCTAGTTACAATTGTATTATAAATTTGATCATGATCCTGAAGATCTTAATCGTATTATATCGTATAATATCATGATAATAGAAAATTTTAAAACACCCTGTACACAGTCAACGACCACGAGAAAATCCATCGAGCACTTCGACAAAAGTAAAGTTGGCCAATAGTTGAAGTAAAAGGTTCGTAGACAGAAGGATTTTTAGAGGTATCTCTGATGGCCAATTGTAAAATGAAGCTTCTACGATCGCAGCCAATTAGGTCAATAAGAGGAATCAAAGAGAATCGGCCTAATCAAAGGCACCGTGAAGAGCCATAGTAGGGGGTCGATGCATCCTCTTCCTTCCCTTCTATTTGCTCGAATGTAAGCGTTGGCAGTTTTCCTCTCTAGAATTCTATACTTTGATCGTGGTTAATAAGCTTAATATTTTTGGAAAATGTATTCTGCCCATTGAACGAAATATTCGATCGAAGTGATTCGAAGCGTTACTCGATTGAGATATTAGAACACTTTGAACGTTCAGTAAAAGTATTATTTATTTATTGAATTATTTCAATGGAAAAATTAAATTATCGTGAGTGAGAAAATAATTGATTGGAAAGTAGCAAAAATTAAATAATACTGGATCTCAAAATCAAAAGATTATTTTTTAATCTTTAATTTTTTGGCCACAAAGATTATTAATATTAAACAAATTTCTTCTTTGGATTGGAAAGGTAAAAAATTTGTTGAAAAGCGAATTAAAAAGTTGGCTCAATTATAAGAAATGATCCTTGTAAAATTATACTTTTAAAGTGAATATGATAAAGATACAATTCTAGGTGATCCTTTTCGTGTTGCAACACAATATTCTTCAAGTTACAATGAAAATTGTACACTGACTTCTCGCTACGGTTTCTCCTTAATAAAAAGAAACTAAATAACGGATATATATATATATATATATATGTACAAAGTTTTATGTATTTTATATTCAAAACAAGAAAAGACTTTATAAACTCTGAGAGTTGATTTCATCCTTTCAAAGTGATTTTCTGCAAGAATGAAAGCTGTTCATTGCCACCAAGTTTCCAATTAAAATTAAAATTTTCAGGGTGAGTGAGTTCTCTTGTATCTTGAGTTAAGAAAATTTATCATCTCTTCTATTGAGTCAGAATATTTATTATATATGTTGAATAATTATTATACATTTATATTATTTCAAAAATGTTAATTCGTGAACATTGTAATCTTTGCTATAGGATAGCAAAATTACATGTAAAGGTCAGAACTCAAATTCCAATTCCAATACTCAATATGACCAGACAAAACTAGTTTATCAACGCCATCTGTCGTCAATCCTATTGCAAGTTTAACTAGTTAAACAATACCAATATTCCCTACTTGTTTTGACCAAGTTAAAATCAGCATTAACGAAACTAGTCAAAACTAGTCAGAAACAGTCTGCAGTGGCGATCCATCAAAACTTAACCCAATTGGCCAATACCTAGATACCAAAACTACTAATCAGCATCGAAATCGAATAAAGTGAATCAAAACCTAACCTAAAATTTGTCGATCCTAAAAATATTCAGAAACAACTTGGGACAATACAAGTTTACAAGTACAAAATAATATATTTAATATCGACAAGAAATTTTAAGAAAATAATGTGATCAAAAAGTTCATTTCCTATTTTCAATCCCGAATATAATTCTTTTAGAAACACTACTGCATTCCAAATCTATTAAGATTAAAAAAACAACATCATATCTCGACTGGAAAGCCCTTAAAAAAACAGACTTAAGTTTATTAATTATCGAGTTACAAACACTTTTCAATTTACTCCCAAATACTCGACAAATAAAATCTTCTAATAAATTTTCTAAGATCACTTGCACGAAAAATATATCGTGGAAAAAACGGCGAGAAACGAAAGAGTGGCACGTTACCTTAGGACCCGGAAGTCCCGGTGTACCAGGTGGGCCGATCGGCCCGGCCGATCCCGGTGTTCCCTTTTCACCCGGCGGTCCAACGTCGCCCGGCGCTCCTTGCCTTCCCTCGTGGCCGGGAAGACCCTCGGCACCCGGAGGACCGGGTGGACCCGGTGGCCCAGGCTCGCCTGGCTCTCCCTGTTACGTTTCCAACAGTGTTACGTCGTTACCGCTTTCTTCCGGCGAGAGCCCTCGACAAGAGTGTCTCTCGGTGCTCGTCGGTTTGTGCCACGGGCGGAGAGAGAGAGAGAGAGAGAGAGAGAGAGAGAGAGAGAGAGAGAGAGAGAGAGAGAGAGAGAGAGGAGGAGGAGGAGGAGG